CAAACGAAATATTTCAAATATTTCGTATTACTGTACTTACCGGTATTTCTTACTGATATGTTTACATTTCGTGTTCAATGTGGTTACATTATCATAACACCATTATCATGACCTAATCATAACATAAAACCACCAAAAGTGCTTTCTAGATAATGGAAACCACATTGAACATGAAATGTAAACATGTCAGTAAGAAATACCGGTAAGTATAGTAATGCGAAATATTTGAAATATTTCGTTTGTTCTTGACTCTGCATGGGTTTCAAGGTCATGATATGATACATCGTTGAATTCGTTTCGCTACGCTCTTTCATATGATATAAAAAAATATATACCATTCCATTAAAAAAACTGAAGGTTACCTTTATATCTTAAAAAAGAGTATAAACACAAAAGAATACATACTTCATTATGTTGATTATAAAAAACACTATCACTTTTTCCTCTTTCATTTTTTTCTAGTACCAGTCGTTTACGAGAAATACGCTGGCTAGTAAATCGCTGAACACCCTGTATACATACAGCTTTAAAATTAAAATACATAAATTCTAGTTCTACTAAGTAAAATATAGCTTGTACATACATAGAAATCTAAAAGAGATTATATCTAAAAATCCAAATTTCCAAATGTTGGACCTCCAAAGAAAAATTTGTTCTATCGACCATTGGAACCTAAAAATTATTATATCCATTCCGTAATTAACAGATTGAAAAGTGTCGCAAAAATATATTAGTACATTTCTGCATGGTAAATTTCGAAATCATTTTTTACACCGTAATAGAAGTTCACATATTGTAATCTTCTGAGGAACATTTTTGGAACAACTAAATTCATACTGCTGATCTGTGCGCCAACTACAGTACTGCAGGCACAATAATGTTGGGACAATGCTCTCTTCGAAAACGACGGGGATTCTTATTGTCGATCTAACCTCATTTGCGTCTTTGTTTGATCTGTATAATACAAACCGGTAGAGTATACACGGCGATTCCCCTAACTATAACGCAACGTTGAATTTTTAAATCTTTCGCAGTTACTTACAACGATCATCACTTATAAATCTTTGCAACTGTCGGAACGTGTTTATGTTTATTATTTTCCGATTTATTTCGAATTTTAGCATAACGTAAGGCTGGTATAGAAGATAATTTCTTGGCGGGAAAACACTTTGACTTTTATCAGATATGTAAGCATACGTAAAATAAAGATAAAATATTCTTATTTGTCAAAAAAAGAACGTAGTTTATTTCTTATAGTATGTAATAGCAAAAGAAAATCATTTTCAAGCACAGTCGTATAGACGGGTCTGGAAACTCTTGTGGTGAGAATAGTGAGCTTATTTAGAAGAGATGCGCTCTTATTAATGATAAGCTATTTACTAAGTTTTTATTATTATTTTCATTCTCGATCACGATTATATTTGTTATGAATATCTTTTATAATTTACATAAATAGTATTTAAAGGAGCTTAAAATATAAATATAAGACAGCTTTTAATTTTTTAAATGATATTTTATATTTACAGTACATATATATAAGAGTACATTAATAACTTAACAGAACAGTTAAAACCAAGAAATAAGTTTATTTTAGTTGCCTTTCGGCCTTGGAGGAGAATAAATACACACCTGCAATTTTTCTATTATATTGCTTAATTTAGACATTTTGTTTATGTATTTCTTTTTGAAATTACCATAAGCTAAGCTCGAGTCTGTGGTACGATAAATTTTATTAACCTTCCAATTTCAGTAAAATTTACATTATTAGTTAATCAATTTCACTTGTTTGGATAACCATAAAATTGTAACTTATGATAACCTTATTTTTCCTTTCAAAATGTTTAAATTTTTATAATGTCAATATTCAAGGATCCATATTTTGATAACTTTATTATCGATGCTAAGCGATAATAATAATAATTTTCAAGTTGGTTTATTTTCGTAGAAAACGTAAGATAGAGTATCTTACAGTAATAGTTGTTCACGTATGAATCAAATATCTTTTAATGCTTTACAATGACTCGTGTTTGTGACATATAGAATGAAAACAAAAAGTTGAATGATATTATAAATATAATAATGCACCCAAAAACTGCAATTGCACTTTTTTTTAATATAATATTTTGTATGGCTCGTATGAATTTCACGGAACATTCCACATAAAAATATTAAAGTACAATCTTTAAAACCCCAATACTTTGAGCAATATTTGAGTAAATGTAAGACATTACACGAAATATGTATTGATTTCGTAACTACTATACTTTAATACCTTTTTTCGCAGAATGCCTTGAGAAGATGCGAGTATGAAATAATATGTAATTTCATTTAACATAGAGTACATTTACAGTTTTTAGATGCATCGTTGCAATCGTGAGGAAACTGATGTAGAAAAATAAACATCGTCATAACATTCAGTTTTTTCTTTCTCAATTTTTACACATTTCTTAGCAAATTCGGGATATAATCTCATCTTAAATCCGTGACATACCTTGTATACGCTCAGTGAATGTCTGAACTAGTAAATGACAGACTATAATGAATAATAATACAATTAGGTCCTATGGAATAAATTATAAGATTGATTCACGCAAAATAGAGAACATTTTGTAGGTCTACTGTAAAGATTATACATAGATATTACGTGATCTTTCGGTAATAAAAAGTTGCATACTAAAATAGAATCGTTACTGATTTCACGTCATCGTGGGTATCATTTAATTGTTCAAATTTGAGAACAGTTCAAATTTAAATAATTTTTTTTTTATTTAAACATTTTTACATGTTTCGTACAGTCAGCGAAATTTCTATAGTTCGATTACAAGTTTTGCATATTCTTTATTTGTTTTTGTAATAGTTACCGACTGAAATAATGAGACATTGAATTTCTATTTTTTTTTCAGTTGTTTCGTTTTATTCGTATAATATATTTTCCAATTTTGCGCTTCATTTCATTATTACTGGAATATTTGATATCGCATAGCAAATTCCTGTGAAATTGCTACAATTTTAGTCCTTTTCATTCTCTCATTCAATTATGTAAATACTGTATGGAGTACGAAAAGAAAATTATTAAATAAGAAAAAGCTGAAAATAACTACTTATAAAAATGCACTTCAACTCTGTCTGTTGAAGTTATTCTGATAGCTGTCGTTATTAATGATTATAATAATTACGTTTGGTCAAGTGATTCGTATAGGTAGATATACAGGGTGTTTGGTCACAATGCGCATAATTTCAGGGGGCAGTAGCTGGAGTGATACTGAACAACTTTACCAAAATGATGGTTGAAGCTTATTTTTTGAATTATTGAGGAAAAACACTGACCAACCAGAGCGCGTGAACAGCACGCGCCAAAACTCGAGAGCGACAGCTTCGAGCCTGACGGCTGAGTATGATCGTGAACAAGTACGTTTGCGCCGTTACAGTGTAATTGCTAACACAAAACCGCTATGTCAAAGTAAAGTCAAATAACGGATATGTCAATCAAATATAAGAAGGGTTATGAATCATTTACACATAGGATATAAACAAATTATTTATTATTAACTTAAACTGAGTGAATCGAATTTTTTCAATACTTGCATTGCGAACTGTATATCGCCATTTTAAATTTACAATTTACATTTACAAACTAACCTAATTTAATTTACAAACTTTATTTTCTTCAGCGGCAAAATGTTCTAGTTGCTGCACATAAACATTTTCATTTAATTTACTATTTAAAAATGCTGCAGTCACATCTAGGTGATCTATGCTCAGATCTAGCTGCATAGCTAAAGAGATTAAAAAAGGTATAGTTGAGTATGCAACTACTGGCGAAAAAGTTTGGAAAAAATTTATTTTAGGTTTTCGCGAACAACCCTTAGCAACTAACCTCGCCTTATATTTAAAGGACATCGCTGTCCTTTTTTATTTTAAATACCCATTTAGACTTCATAGCTTTCTTATCTGCAGGTAATGATACATATTGCCATAAATGATTATTTTTTAACCGACTTCGAAAAAGGAGGAGGTTACTCAATTCGATCAGTATATTTTTTTTTTTTCTATGTATGTTCGCGCATTACGCCTAGCTGGATGGACCGATCGGAATGAAACCTTTTGCATATGGAATGCGCTGACTCCCCATTGGTACCATTATCAAAAAATTTTTCATTTTTTAATTGCAAAGTGTTGTTATTGCAAAAAAACCGGCAACTTTTGAAATAAACTTTTCTCGATTTTAGTGCGCTTTTAATATCTTATCACGGACATGATTCTGAAAAATTTTGTTCATATACAAATTTCGCGGAAAGCTTTTGTTTTCGAGATATTACCGAAAAATTGTTATTAACTTTTGAAATCAACTTCGAACGATTTTAATGTCCTTCGAATATGTTGTTAGGGGCGTGGTTCTGGACAACTTTTTCCTCTTGCACAATTGACGGAAAGCTTTTGTTTTTGAGATATTAGCGAAAATTGTTGTTAACTTTTGAAACTAACTTCGAACGATTTTAATGTCCTTC